ATTCCTTGTACAGTTTTTTTTTGCCAATCTGCGTCACGAATTTCGCACTATCTTCTCTTCTTTCTGACCTGTCTTGCCATGGTTTGTTCTCTGTGTTGCTTGATTCATCCTTCTTCTCAGTGAGCCTTGTTTTAAGTGCCCCACATTCGCTCGATTATGTTGCTTGGACAAGCAGAGACCAGATTTCTCCCCCAAATTTATACACACCAAGTAGACACGTTTTTTCAGACGCATTTATTCACTCCGGTCCTGTCTCTCATCGCCTTCCAGCTCCTCAGTTGGTGCTCATGACTATACTACCTGTGTCTCATTGAACAATCCCGGTTTTTTCCGAACCATCAGCATCTGTGCCCGCATCTCCCGCCCGTATATGGGGCCCATTTTTACCACCCCGTCTTCCCTCCTCGTAAGACACATTTCGATCTGAGGGTTGTTTGTGGTGCACATAGCGATTTTCGAAAACATTCTCAGGGGTCGTGCTAGTGGGATATGAGAGCACACAGCTTGTTCCCCCGTCCCGTCGTCCATCTGTTTGTCACAGAAGAGGTTTTGTTCCTCTTCTTCTGCTCCGGACAAATTTCCCCCAATCCGATCTTCGCAATGTTTCTTTTATCTCCCTGCGCCTCGTTCAGTGTAGATGACAATCATGAACAGACAATGACAATCTCAATCATGAGAATAGGGAATAAATGTTTGCTTCCTCTGTTTGTTCCCTTTAAGCTTTACATATATCACGATACTGTTCGCGACTAATTTCCAAGCACACACACGCGCACGCGATTCGATACACCGCTAACGAACCTGTACTTTGTCCATCGTCTACTCCGATCCACCTGCTCTANCCCCCCCCCCCCCCCGCGTATGCCTGTTCACAGGGCGTTGTCAATCGTGTGTATTTTTTTTTTTAATCAAAACAATCCCCATTGTGGTTTACTCTTATTCGTTTTCTTTGTTTCTCTCTTTCTTTCTTCCTTGATGCGGAAATTGTTTGATTGATTAGGTGATTCGTTCGTGTATTGATCGATCACGTGCATAATTTCATCCAATCTCATCCCGGTTGTCTTTTGGTGTTTTGTAATGCGAGCATACTCCGGGTGCAACAGAGTAGCAGAGATTCACTGTAGGATCTCCACCCCCGATTATTGTTCTCGTAATCGATCTGAGGCTTAGCGGGCGACGGAGCGGCAATTCGGGTTACGGGGCTACCAGGGTAACGGGATTGCGAGGGAACACTGGCGGGCAGTTCCTTCATAGGTCAGGATTAACGATGAACTTGCAAGGTTTGGGAAACAGAATGTACGTAATAAAATATTACTGGTGCGGTTGCCGAGCGTTACAGTTGTAGTCATGCCCTTGTCGGTGATGCACAGATATCCCTAGATGTAGCTGGGAGCAATGTAATCCTGGTTGTCTGGATTCGGTTAATTTTTGTGATGCGGCATAGACTTATGTATATGTGGTGGTGGCGCGGTGGTTTAGTTCCTGTCACAGGCGTGCTTTGGACACTGGTTCGAGGTTCGAGCACCGCCACCCAACTTTGGTGGTACGCAGCTTTGCTGTCGTCCGGGCCAAGACCACACCTAACCTTATGTGGTTCGCCTTTCTAAGTCCCGGGGCTTAGGTTACCGGTTTCTGTCGCTGAACAGCAGATCCTCGTGACTATGGGGTTTACTCCGTCTGTTGTTCATCACACGAAAATGTGTAATAAAAAAGTTTCTGCAACCTTAGCGTAAAGAGCTAGTAGTTCCAGGAAAGTTCTTGCGAAAACGGCACTCCACTTCCCGGTCAGCTGGAGCAACGTGGAAATATGTTGAAGTCTAGAACCACTCTGTCTGACATTAGATACAAAAGCTGATATCGTCCTACAAGACCCTGTTGAACAGAGAGACGTAACTCTGTTGATGAGCTCCCGGTGCACTGTACCCCTTATCATCAATAGTCAAGTTTTTATTAAGGGTAAATTACAGAACTGATGCTTATTGAATCCCATAGTATCTGTACACACTGGGTTCGGTTGGTAGTACAAATGAATAGCAAATTCTGACATTCACTCACGGATGCTGAAAAGCTAGATGCTTCATTTTGTATTTGTTTAACTTTTGTAAGCGTGTATGCTTACATTTCAGTTAGAGATGTACACTGTTCGTCACGCAGAATGAAATAATAATAATAATGAAAACGAAAGGTAAAGAATGTCGGTGACATGTGTTTCAGGTACAAAACATTTGATCTAGTTCATTTGAGACCTGTTCCTTTTTGGCTAGTAGTCGGGTCAAGTAGGTTACAGAGGAATTTTCATAAATTTTAATGTCAGTGGGTAGATATCGGAATGAGGAGCGTGTGGATGGATGGAAACGATAAGACGATAGGTCAGAGTGTAGTGGATGAAGAGGATCATCTAGAGTCTTATGAGCAAATTTAAAACAAGAGTTGATGTGACCATCAATGAGATTTGTGATTAATGAATCGATGATGCACGACTGNATGATCACCAAACCACGGCGAATTGTTTTGAAGTCGTGTTTTAAAAGACCTGGAAACACTACAGGGGAGCAATAGAGTAGAATGGGTAAAACCCATTGGTGAACGAAGGATGACAGGACTGACTGTGGGGTTTGGAATTGCCTGAGTTTGCTTAACTGAAAAGACAGGCGTCTCGGTTTTCCCATGCAGTTGTAAATATGTGTAGACCAACGAAGATTGCTGTCAATGGTGACACCCACGTACTTGACTGAGGTCATTCTGGATACAGGTTTACCGTTAAGAGTAGCAGAGTTCGTTGGAAATGCGGAGCGCGAAAAACTGGAAATACACTCTGCACACTTAGATGTGTTAAGATTGAGACCAGATTGGTCAGAAAACTGTTGGATGTGAGATAGGTTTTCAGTAAAAGAATGAAAGTCTGAAGGAGGTGAAACTGTTTGAGACAAAACAACGTCAGCAGCATAATTTTGGATTTGCGCAGGGGGTGAGACCGGAAGATCATTAATAAGGCAGAAAAAAGATATGGAAATGGAACAGCACCTTAAAGAACAGAATTATTAACAAGAGGTTTTGATGTCCTCCTTCCTAATTTGGTGCACTGGACCCTCTCTGTGAAATCGTCAGCAAGCCATGATAGCGGTTGTTTTGGAGTGCCAAAAGAATTAAATTTGAAAGGAAGGGATGATCGGGAAACAGAATCGAACACAGACGGATAGTCAAGAAAAATAACTGACAGACTTGGTCGAATTGTTCAATGACTTGCTGACAAAGTGCATCAGAGTGAACACGGTATCCATTGTGGATCTCTTTGGTTTATATGCAAACTGAAGGGGATCGTGAGGAATTGTGGTGTCTGACTGCAACCTACTCAGGATGGCTTTTTCAGTTGACTTTAGAGCCGCTGAGGTCAGCGCTGTAGGACGAAACCGTTTCGCAAGAACAGTTGAGGACGTGGATTTGGGGAGCAATGTTCACTGGACACGAAGAATCAGGAATTGACCTGGATGATAGGGACTCATTGAAGACGGCTGTCATCATATCGGTTAGTGGAGCTGCTCCGAATTTCAGAAGTGCCGGAGGAAGATCATCTGGGCCTGCAGCTAAAGATGCTTTGCAGGATCGAAGAAGCTTAAAGATTAAATCATTGGAAAAAGGCACTGAACTGGATTGATTGCATAGGAATAAGGAACGCCTCATCGAGCCGTGATTTGAATGAATCGATGGTTGGTGCTTAACAAAAACACTTGGCCGATCGGTATCACACGCGTATGACTTAGGATATGTGATTCTACCCGAGTCCGTGTCATTTGGTTAGAATCTTTAATGTTGACTAGTATCGGGGAAAGGTTGCACCTCAATCCACTAAAAATATCAGGTTTCAGGTAGCGCCGATGTGTGTGTGTGCGCGCGCGTGCGTGTGTGGATGACTGTCACCCCCCTCCCTCCGGTCAGTTTCCACTATTAGCACACTGCACAAAAAACAGGAGTAAAAGCCACTTCCACTATCTGATAAACAAGGATAACGGGCAGAATTAGTTCCCTGAATGTCTATGCTCGGTGAATGCAACCAGCCACCGCCGAAAAGGGATTGTGCCACACTTTGGGAGGCGAGACAGTAGACGAAACCGCCCTCGAGATTCCAATATGTCACTGTAATCGATCTTCTGGGGGCGAGGGAGAGGCCACAATGGCACATACCCACCTGGGTCCCGATCTGCAGTGATTAAGGTCGAACATGGAGAAGTTGTTTGAGTGTAGCCGCATGATGACTGTTGTGACTGTACGACTGAGTACTTTACTGCGGCTGGCTCCTTGGAAAGGATAACCCCTGCTCCAGACATGATCACGATCATGAAGTTCCTTGGGAGTTTAGTATGAGAGACGTCCTCGGCGTTTTTATTTTGAGGGTGCACCTCTAGCTTGTGCACAACCAAATGCGAACTGCAAGGCAGCAGGAAGTAATTCCTCGACTCGGAAGTGAGGGGGTCAACGACGTAAGTTTGTCA